TTTTTTCAGTGAACATGCGATTATGAGCAATTGCGTGCATCATGAAAAATATGCCAGTAGAGCTATTCATAATGCCATGTTCATTGAATAATCGTTGTTTATTATCTATATTGCATTCTTTGAAGAATATCAGAGGTAATATTGGCTTACATAAGGACAAGGCTGCGTGTCTTCATTAAGTATAACGCACGGGCTAAATTTTATAAATCAGTAGACCTGATTTAGTGACCTTTTTTGATTTATTTTTCCACGCTTTTAAAAAGTCATCTCAAAATATTACCAACCGTGTGTTCCTAAATATACTGTCACTGTTTCCACAACAAAACATTCCTTGTTATAGTTGTTCATCACCGTCCTGGCCCCGAAATTTAATCATCGAAATAAAAATAATCGTCTATTTATACTGCCATTTTGCTTGATTTGCAAGATAATTCTGTCCAACGCGCAGAAGTCAACTACGAAAATACTTGAAAAGATGAAAAAAAAGTTTTTGAATTTTTTTTTTAGATTGAGGCAAGAATTAATTAAGAACTAAACGCAACTTTTTGTGCGTTATGAATAGGCATTTTTTTTCAATGGGTGTGTAGACCATGTCGGTACTTGGGTTCATTATGAACATGAATTAAAACACAAGTCAATCAGTGGTGGTTTGACAAGTATATTATTTATTGATGGAAATATAATAAAAACCTGAAATAAAGTCATTATAATTAATACACATTTACAAATCCATACTGACTGTCATTATAATTAATACACATTTACAAATCCATACTGACTTTACTTTTAAATTACAAATATAATAAGATATAGATAAGTAATAAATATATTTACCAGGCACACTATATAAATCAGCTACTAATGTATAGGATGACTATTCCCGTCAAGGGTGTAGCGCCGAGTGTGCATGAAAATGGTTAGCCGCGGGAAAGTTAGTGAAAAGTTATTAATAGAAACTGGTCAAACCGGAAATGGTCAAATACGTCACACCTATCAAACATAAACACTCACACGTAGACATTCACACATGACAACACAAACATAAACGCACTTAATAGAAATACTTAAAACATTGAAACTGAAACATTTAATTACATGAACTTACACTGGTTACAGGTCGCATGTAGTTCTCCGGTCGGTCAATATATTATTCGGAAAGCTACAGTTCTGTAGCTATATGCTAAAAAGTAAACATGTTAATTACGCTTGTATCTCTCTTTTCCCCTCCTCAAAGAAAATGACGCTGATGTTTGTGCGTACAAAGATACTGCTGGACGCGCAGCTGTTCTCACATTCATCTTTATCAAGATCTTCACTTTTAAAAAAATCTTCTTAGTAAAATTTGGAAAATTTAATTATTGAGTAGTTTTTCAAAGAACTGTCTTCTTTGAGATTTCATTATTTCGCATAAAATTCTATTATTAACTACTTAAAAGTACTTATCTAATATAAACTTATTTTTGTAATTCATCATTTCTACATCATATTCGAACCAAACTTTACTCTGTCCCTTTGAAACTTTTAAATAGTCTTCTTGAAAAGCCCAAGGAACATCCAAATTTAGATTCCTCGACACCTGAATATAGGCTCGGTTCTGTGATTATGGATATTGCACATCATAGGCTTTTTCAACCCGCACGTTTCATAAAAAATGCAGCTAAAACAATCCGTCTTTTCCTTACACTTCAATATGCCAATGAAGGAATTGACGCGGTTAATATAAGTAATATTCTTAATCACAAAAGGGTCCAGTCTTGTATTCCACCATATTTCAAGTTAAAGACTACGCCTTGTTTTTCCACAAATATATATCACCAATGCTTCCAAACTTTTCAATTACAAAAACACTTTACATGGCCTGGATTTCGACTATCTGAAAAATAATCCCCTTTCGTGTTCATGTTCTTCTTGCCCTATAACTATAGTATGCTGGACACGTTATTACAGGTGACGTAAAAATAGTTCAATGGGGCCCTTTAGATCACTTATTTTAAAAGGTCCTAAATATGGGGAACCCCACCCTTCAACTGGCGTCGGAATTTCATAAATATTATGGATTCTGTTGAAAATTACGTCAGACGATGGGTGGATTGAAAAAGAAGACATTGACACCTTTCAGAAGGTTTAAATGTATCAAATCCATGTTAAAGTCACTTTTAAAAGATTGAGGGGCAAAATAAAAACCATTATCCGTCTGTGTTCAATAAACCAGAAGTGAAAAAAGAATTAGATAGATTACACGATCAGTACGTACTGGTTCCCCACAAAGCAGGTAACAACATTGTTTTCGATTGAAAGACTCATTATATAAATTGCATTCTAGAAGAACTTGGATTTAATTCTACAAGTGGTAATCCTACTTAAACATATACTTCTCTTTCTAAGGAAGAAATCCTTCAGAATCACCTGTCAGTTTTGAATACTTTTAATATTCCACAGAGCCAAAATGAATTTGAACTACCTTATATATATTGGATTCCGAAACTTCATAAGAGTCCTTACAAACAAAGATACATTGCAGGTTCCAGTAAATGTTCAACCAAGCCTCTTTCGTTACTTCTCACTAAAATATTGACAGTAGTGAAGGAAAAACTTCAAGAGCACTGTACAACTATATATTCAAGAAGTGGTGTAAATCAGATGTGGATACTTAAAAATTCTAAAGAACTTTTGGACAGTTTGAAATCACAAGACTTTACAAAAATCAACAGCATAAAAACTTACGACTTTTTAACTTTATACACAACAATTCCCCACGACAAATTAAACTCCAGGCTTTTTGATATCATTGACAGCTGCTTCTTCAACAAAAATGGAACTCGTAAATTTACTTACCTCGTCATTGGTCATTTGAAAAATTATTTTGTCAAACCAGATTCTGATTGCACACATAAGTACTCTGAAGTTGACATCAAAAAGATGCTTAGTTTCTGATCGACAATATCTATGTGGTTTTTGGAGACCAGGTATTCCAACAATCTATTAATTCCCCTGGGTACAAATTGCGCTGCGTTATTAGCAGACTTATTTTTATATTCATATGAAAAAGAATTTATGCAAAATCTTTATGTGAAAAAAAAGAACACTTGCTGTGGCCTTCAACTCGACATTTAGATATATCGACGACGTATTGTCAATTAATAATGATAATTTTCATTCCTACGTCGACACGATATATCCTGGTGAGCTTGAGATAAAAGATACCACAAAGTCCGACACTTCTGCTTTATCTTGGATATTTTACCTGAAAAAGAAACTAATGGTAATCTAATAACCAAGCTATATGATAAACTTGCTGACTTTAAATTTTTTATCGTCAACTTCCCTTACTTATGCAGCAATATACCTTTATTACCTGCATACTGAGCATTTATATCTCAGTTGATTCGATATGCAAGAGCATGCTCTACGTATGAACAATTTCTTAAACGAGGTAAATTATTGACAAGCAAGTTGATGAAACAAGAATATCAACAGTCTCTTTTAAAGTCATCATTTCGTAAATTCTATGGTCGATACAATGACTTTGTCAGCAAATACAATTTATCATTAAATGAAATGTGACTGACGTTTTTCATACCAATTGTTAGTCCATTATTTATACACTGAATTGACCACGGATTTTTCCGTTATTTCCTAATTATGACAACGAGCAAACGGCGGGTGTGAACGGTAGGCAGGGGATGCTCACTCCTCACTGGCACCTGATCCATCCTCTGATGTGTTGAAGGTCCATGTTTGCTCTGCTCCTATTTTGTATATTTGTTTAATGGACGTTGAGATTGAATACTGTTCGTTATTTCCATATCCTTCTAAAGACAAAAAGTTTTTAAAGATTTTTCGCCATCTTTAAGCGATTTTGCTTTAGATCTCCATTTTTTCCTCTTGTTTTTATGTCTGTTGATACATTTTGAATTTTGCATTTATTTCATTTAATTAAGGTTATATTTTTTTATTTTTTTTCAGATGAAACAGCTAACATTTTCTTTGTTTTGTCTACTTTTCCTCGTTTTCCTTGTTTTAAATTTGAATATCTAACAATCAAGCCTCTTTTCGTTCAATTGTGTCCAATGTTAATTGAAAAACAATTTATGTTGTTTTTTTTTAATTTTTCCAAAAATCCCACATCTCCTAATATTGACGTATTAATTTTTCAGAACCGAAGTCCTTTATTATGATTGGCTTCGCCTTTCAAGATACATGTATAAAACTACACCCGTTTTATGATAAAATGTTTATGTCTGATTTTTCATGGAAGAGAGAAAACATGGAATGATAATAAATCTTTTCAAAGAACTATTTTGGGTTTCTACATAAATATGTCTAATAAATTTAACCTTGGTCGTGTTTTCTCCATAAACATACAATTCAAAATATTTAAAGCAACTAAAATTACGACCTCCAGTCGTACCATGTTTTCTATATTGTAAATGAGTTGAAATAACATCACGGCCATGACAATATTTTCAAAGTCATGTGGCTCTATTACTTATCAATAATGATTTGGAAGAAAAACACCTGACAGTTTGACTAATCCTTCCTTGGAGCCTAAATATTTGTTAAAATAAATTTGGTTTTATTGATGAATAAATTTATATGTAACATTCAATGCCCATTATCCTGTGCAGCTCGATGTTCCAGATTAACCTCTTTGATCATCTCCATATCAAGAACTAGTAATAAGAGATACGATGTAATAACATCTATTTTGCAGTAGCTGGATTACCTTTAATAACATTGTCGCATTAGCCCTTCATAGCTTAAAATCTGACAAGTATTCACAAGTTAAAATGACACATGTTGTTTAAAAGTTGCCTGTCTCATTGAATTGATACCTGCTTAACAATGTTTTTTTTTACTGCTGATTATTTAAAGAGCATTTATTGTAACAGCTTTACCGGGGTATAGTTATGTTAAATTACAAAAATAGAACTGTTCTGAAAAAAAAAATAACTTTTTCTTCTGCTTTTTGTTAAGTTCCAGTTTGCACAAAAATCAACAAAAAAAAAAGATGTTATATAGCAGACCCTGCCTGTCCGAATCTAACCAGGTAATTTTACAAAGAAAACTACATATTTATTGTAAATAATATACCATGCTCATGTATTAATCCAATCATGACACAAAAACGTAACTTTTGTAGTGACTTTAAAGAATGGACCTTTCTTACTACAACCGATACAACCACGCTATCAAGTACCACTTCTACCGATCAGGGAGATACTTCTATTGATAAAAACTGGGTAGCGATACTAACGGGTGTTATAGGTGTAATTATTTTCATATTCATCTGTTCAGGATTTACTTGGAAACGTTTTCGAAATGCAAAGAAAAGGGGTAAATTTTATTTAATGTAATCTTTATCTTTTTTTTGTTTTAATTTTCTATAAAATCCAGTACATATACTGTCAGAACTATGCAAAAGGAAAATAAATAAATGAATAGGAGAATATCAAATGTTTTAAAACAACTTTTAAAGCGCGTCTCTCTTGTTGTATAAATCTGAAAATAATCAAGAGAAAAGATGTGATATTTAATGTATTCTATGTGTACACGTAGACAAGCCATCTTCTTTAGATGTGCGCTATACAAGATCCAGGAAGAATCAACATCCTGAAACAGAAGGTTTATTTCAAGAGATAGTAAATGAACAGATGAGAGGAGGGGGTAAGTCACGGAGGTCTGATATTAGCCTCTAACACTCTCTATAGTTTTACCTCTCTGATTAAATAAGTCGTATAGAGTATTTTATTTTTTGAGAGTATAGTAATGTCTGAGGAGGTATTTTCTAAAAGTATATATAAAATGAATTGGAGAAGTTTTGATAAGAGATTCTTATTGAAGCGATATCGTCTCTCTATGTATTTTTTTTCAAAATAAATCCCTCTCCCTGTATTGTTTTGTTTGAATCATAAACATCATGTAAATGTCATCCGTTTTCATCCTACAATATAACTGCATATACATATTCATCTTTGCTAGCCAAGTTTTTCTGATACGCTACTCTCCTCATAAACCCATTTCATATGATGATGAGAAAAGAAGTGGTTGTTTTCGTCATGATCTCAAAATCGAACTTTTTGTAGGGCCGTATGCCAGTAGTTTATGAGAAGAGCAGATATCAGAAACCCTTAGCTAGCAAAGATTATCAATAAACCTCAGTACAAGATAGCTAGAAAATGCATGGGGAAAAAATAAAAAAAATCATCATAAACATTGAATTCCAGTTTAAGGGTTTATTAATATGTTCAAAATAAATTCAAATTTTATATTTTGAGTCACTCTTAAAAGGGGTCATTTTGCCTCCCTTCAATTTTGCATTCGACGTGAAGGGAGGCATTTTTGTCCTTTTTTCACTTTTCAACGACAGAAAATGACTCCCCACACGTTCTCTGAAAATTTTACCACGATGAAAAATGACCCCTTTTTAGAGCGACCAAAAATTGTAAGGTTAAATTGATACTAGGTATCAATTAATTCATCCACAAAATATAACATTTTTGCATTTATACCGTTTACGGTAGCTCAGTCGGTAGAGCGCTCGCTCCGTGATCGGGAGGTCGTGAGTTCGTATTTCGGCCGCGACTGACCTAGTCCTTAAATGGGAGCAACTGTTCCTTCGCCATGCGCTCGGCACTTTGAAGGGAAAGTTGCGAGTCCTTCGGATGAGACCTTAAAAACCGAAGCCCCGTGTCAGCGGCAGGTGTTGGCACGATAAAGATCCCTCACTGACCAATTGCCCTGAGTGCCGAGTAAAGGTCAAAATTTGAAGCCCTTCACCGGCATACGGTGACGTCTCCATATGAGTGAAAAAAGTCTCGAGAGAGACGTTAAACAACATACAATCAAACAATCATTTTTGCATTTTAAAGAATTTTTACAACAAATCCATATAAAGTTTTAAAAAGAACGTGTACAATTTTTAAAAATTTATCATTAGTTGCAGTTGTTGACTCAGAACCCCTGGCTTGCAAGGATGAAAATAGGGAAGTATCATCATAGAACTAATGAATCAAATACAAGTGCCAGAAGTATAAAAATGCAATTTAGCAACATGCTAATATCGTGTATCTTTGTCATGGATCTTTGTCACGTTATGTGATAATTGTCTAGGAAAGTAACAATTTAAAAGAAAAAAAATGCTGTGCTATTTGCCACTGTTAAAATTAATTTTTCAAAACAATAATTACTTAAGCCATTTTTCTCAAAAAAATTGAACAAGTTATTACAATTTTTAGGCTCTGTTATTCATATCATACAGTTCGATATTTTTGATTCCATATTTTATGCAATATCGTCTTGGAAAGCAGTACGTGGAATCACTTTCAAGAAAAATAACATAAGTTCATGAATATCCAAGGAGAAATAAAAAAAAGAATAAAAACCTTATAAAACCATTAAGACAAAGTATAAAGCAAATTTTGAACTCTTTTTGATGATTTTTATTTTTGTTGTCAAAAAAGAAGTATTTCATTGAGGCGATAAAAAATAAACACAATTTAATAGTCAATACTACTTGATCTGACACTTATTTTGGATCTCACAAATCAAACCAACGATTTTAATTAATATCATTATAAACTTGAGGGAACTGGCTATCATCTAGTGAGCTAACAGCTCAAAGTGCCTCTAGTTTTGACTATCTATAATTTGTTTAGATACTTTACGGATACATGTGTGAAGTTGTACATGTATAATGGAATGGTCTTCAATGATTTTTTTCTATTATGCTTCAATATGGAGAAAATGTTACAGAACTAAAATCAAATGTTCTGATTTTCATAATAAACGCTTTAATATATGCATAACAGAGTAAACGGGTGGAATAAGCAAGATTTAAACTGTAGGTACTGTGAGCAATGAGTTCACTAAATGATTCCCCCTCCCATATGATTATGTCTCTGCTTTGCTCTGGGGAACATGAAAGGGGTGTTAGATGAAAAAGTAAACTAGTAGAACACATTTTATTGCGTTATATGTATCCGATCAAAGGTAACATAAAAAATGCACAATAACACCTTGTAACACAATGCAGCAAAGGTTCTGCATGTGAAAGTGTTATTGAATTAAATGCATCGGTGTAAGTGGAGCTGTGGATTCAAAGCGTTTTGAAAGGACGGACATCTCGATCATGATATATCCTCCCGCTTTTCTATAAGGGGGTATAATACTAGCAGGTACCAATTTACAGGAAAACATACTGATGGAAGACAGGAAAACACCATCTACTGTTACCGAGATCCATATTTCAAGATTTATATTAATATATTCATATGGGAGGCGGTAGGATTATTTAGGAGTAGAAGGTGGATATGATCTTATGAAGCATAACACTTTTAACTAGAGGTACTGTGAGCAATGAGCTCACTAAATGATACCCCCGCCTCCCATAATGTCCATGTGTTGCTAAATAATGTTTTACGGTAATGTGTAAGGAGGAATAAGTCGTCCTATCAAATGTTATTCAGAAGTTCTATAGTGACGTCATGGGTAAACATATAATGGCAATGTCCATGTTTTGCTATCGGAAACCTAAAATATGTGTCGAATAAAAAAGTAAAATAGGAGTTGCACAATGGCAATATGTAAAAGATTCTGTGAAAGTTTCATTAAATTTCGCTCAGTAGTATAAGAGGAGTTGCGGATAAGAGATAAAGCATGACAGTTGGTCGGACGGACAGCTAGACGTACGGACAGATATACTAACCCTAACCCTAACCCTAACCCTAACAGATATACCGATTATTATATACCCCCCACTTTTCAAGAGGGGGTATAATAAGTCAATGACAAAAGACTTAACACAAGATCCACATCAAGAGAGTATCTGTTGAGTGATGGAGGCTCGTTTGCGAGTTTTCTGAAATTTCAACAATTTAGTGTACAATAGATAAATCAAACATTATAGCATAGCACTATTAAATCTTATTCGTTATAACTAACATTTCAAATGCCGTGTGAGATGATATTTGAACTATAAAAAACACGATGTTCTAAAATTAGTTTCATATTTGAGAATAGTACAAATCATATTTGCATTAAAACTGTACCATTTTGTATCATACCATAATCATTTGTGATTTTTTTTTAAAAGTCTGTGTGATTACCTCTCAGTATTACACTATATGATTAACTTTGTTGTTTGACATATTGTAAATTGTAGATATTGCGTCTCAACATGCAAGGTCTGAAGATTCAACACTAAAGGAGTCACCAAGCCAAGAGGGTCTGTTGTAGATTTATCTGAAATCATCTTCCAATTAAAAATCACATTTTTCTTTAACAAAACCTATATTTAGAGAATTACTCTATAGACTTTAGCAATATATGACAGTTGTGCAGAGATGGTGATAGTGGGGTTCTTGGGGTATATTTCAATCATTATTTCAAGTAATTACAAAGAAAAAACCTATTTATATCACACGATTACATTAGATGTATAACATTCATCATCTTTTATGCTTCAAAAGTGCTTTTATGTAATTCAAAATTATATCCATAAAACATTAATCCCGTTACTTGCACGTATATTTATATATTTTGCCGAAGGAGTTCAAGAATAAACAAATAAAAAAAACAAGAATTAATCCAAACTAAAAATAGCCAGAAATTTGAAATATTGATGGAAATGGGGAGTACGCAGGAACACGTGTAAATTTTAAATCGGTTTTGTTTATCGTCTTTTATTTCTTTTATAACTTCTTTTATAACTTCATTATTCTGAGTCCTCAGCTACTAGTAATTAATTAAAAGTAGTGTCTTATTCATACATTGATTCGTTACACGATTAGAAAAAATACCACAGAGACCGCCACGTTTGTTGGATATTTGGATGTTCTTTTTACAATAGACGCAAAGGTCAACTAACCATTAAATTGTATTAAAAAAACAAGATGAATTGCAATTATACATCACCAGCTGTCCGTATTTATATAGTTATATAAAAATGCAATTTGTTTATACGAGTAGTAATATGAAATATAAAATAATGTAAAAACAGTCATTTATCACCTGTGAAATGAGCATAATATTTCTCTACTTTTTCGATACTTCAGATCATGTGCTAAATATGGTCAATTTTAAAATCGAGGCAAGTTTCTCACATATAAGTTCTCTGAAATTTTAACAAAAGAGTGGATAATCGATATGTTAATCATCATAGAATAGCACTAATAAATCTAATTAGTCAAAGTTAACAATTCAAATGTCAAACGAAATAAAAGTTCTTCATTGTGAAAAAAATACCATGTACGTAAATTAATTTCATATATTATTATCATTTAGAAATATATTTGCATTGAAACGGCATCATTTTGATGATTTTTTTATAAACTCCATATGATTATCACTAGGTTCTACACTGTGTAGTTTACTTTGTTTTCTTGTTTTTTTTTTAAATATTGAAATTTGTAGATATTGCCTCTCACCATGAACAATCTGAAGTTTCAGCACAGGTGGCACATCTGGAGAGAGTGAAAGAGTCACTTAAGGAAGGTTTGTTGTCGAGCTTTCTGAAATCAACATCTTGCAATTATAGAAACCATTTTTTTATTAACAGAACCTAAATTTAGAGAAATACTTTGTGGACTTTAGTATTGAATGGCTTTTGTGTAAAGTTGGTGGTAGTGGGGAAGGTTTATGTAGGGGGGGGGGGCAATAATTATTTCAAC